AGGTGCTCCAGCGTTCTGTAGCCCGATGCCGAGCGCGGACGGTCTTGCCGGAGCTGGCTCAAGTAAGCGAGGGCAGCCCTATCAGTTGTTCGATGGTCACTGCGCGAGTGCGACCGAGCTGCTGGCCCGACGCCGAGCGCCGACGATTTATTTCTCCAGTTTCCCGCGCGCCCCGCTGCGCGCCACTCGCTGTCGAGCGCGGATGGTCGCTGGGCTCATCGGGTCGATGCCAAGTGCGGGCGGTCGGGCCCGACTGCATCTGCCGACGACGTTTTCCGCATTGGTGGCGAACAGGATTCGTTTTGGTCGCGAGAGAATGGAGCCGCGCGCCCAACCCCTTGCGCCATGCGCTCTTGCTCGGGCAGCCGCAGTTCTCTCCGCCAGCCGGGGCGCTGGGGCGGGGGCCTCCAGCGCGAAGCCGAGAGAAAAACCCGGTCTCTTCCGCGCGGTGTGTCGCGCGAGTTGCCCGCGCGGGCTACCGCGCAAGGTCTTCCATGCAAGCGCGCGAAGTTGCGGGGTCTTGCGCGGCATGTGCATGAGCGTTCCCTGCGACATTGCGGAGAGGGATCGCGCGGCCGCGCTCAGGCCACGGACGAGCGCACGCGCTCATCCTAAGCTAGACCATGTCCAGACTCATGCCAATATGCCGACTCGTTACGAGTGAGTCCCATTCGCGTCTGGCACCGTGAGACGCACTTCCAGCCCCTCAAGTCAAGCTCGTTCGTACCCGAAGTCGATGCCAACGCGCGCGCATGCGGGGTGGGGGGCGGGGGTGGGTGGGGGGGCGCGCTGTGAATGGTCACTCCGACCGCGCCGAGCCCCCGCGCCAATGCCTTCTTTCCTCTTCCCGTCCTCGCTTAGACTCATACGGTCGACGACGACGACGACGATGATAATGATGCTGAGGATGATGATGACGGTGAGCGGGCTGCTGGCTTTGGCGACGATGGTGGTGACAAAAAGGATGGCGACGACGATGCTCCTTAGAGTTGCCCATGCTCAGTGTGACACCCGTGGTCGCTACTCAGGTGAAGATGTGATGATGATGATGGTGACGATGTTGAGGATGGCGATGGTGATGATAATGTTGATGACGATGATGTTGACGGACGGAGCTGATTTTGAGAGTGTCCTGGGCGAGGCTCTGGTTCCGGCGCCGCCACCGCGGGGCCGCCAAGGGGCATTCTTGTTTTCCGTTCTCGCCCAGTTTGCGGCGACGTCTGGAAAGGTTCGTCGGTTCACCGACCCAACGCCGCCCGCTGTAGGAGTAGAACTTGAAGGCGCCTCGGGCGAGTCGCTGTTTTTGTCCGTTCCCCGGGGGGCCCAGATTGCGAGGGTGTCTCGAGCGGTTTGCCTGCTCCGTGGACGATGTGCCTGCGCCGCGCCGTGGCCACCATTTTGGTGCATTTTTCAAATTTGGCGATCTGCGCATGATAGTGGCGCAGGGTTTGCGGGCTGACTTGCGCCCGCATCTTTGCCCTTGGAAATCCTCGCGGGGCCCGGCGGCCCCGCTGGTGAAGGGTCAGCAGGGTTTCCGTGCGAGGCCTTGCCATATGTAGGTCCCGAGGTTGCACGGTGCATAGTTTTTGTTCTTAGCAGAAGTTCTGCGCCGTGGCGCGTGTAGTTTTCATCGGCGGCTTCAGAATTGGCCGTCGAGTCTTCTCGTCGGCCCTTCTGGTCTGAGTGCGAGGCGCGCACTTCTTCGCTGGGCTCGCAAAGGGGCGCGCCCGCGCATTTGACACTCGTCGATGCCAAGTGCCCCCTTGGAATTGCGCGGCTCGATGCGGAGATCAGACATCGTCCGCGCACCTTTTTTGGCGGCAACACTCGTCCGTGTTCAGATCAGATTCCGAGGATGTCGCGGGCGCGGCACTGGTTTCCGCGTGCCCATGCAGGGGCCGCCACGAGATATCCAATTCCTTCTGTTCGCGCGCGAATTGCGTGGGTGTCTCGAGCGGCCTGCCCGCCCACCGACCCGATATCCCCCGCTTCCAGATCACATTTGGACGGCAGCTCGGCGGGGCGTTGGTTTTCGCCCCCCACGGGGCCCGGGTTGCGAGGATGCCTCGGGCGGCTGGCTCGTTCGGGCGGTCAGGCTCGTCTGCGGCCAGGGCTGTTTCTGAGGATGTCTCGGGCAAGGCGCCGGTTTCGGCGCCGCCAGGAGTTCAGATTGAGAAGATGTCTCGGGCGGGTTGCTCGCTCCGGTGGCCAGGCCCGCCTGCGTTCGGAGCTCAATCCGAGGATGTCTCGGGCGGGGCGCTGGCTTTCGCGCCCCAGGCGGCCCCGATTGCGAAGGCGTCTCTGGCGAGGCGTCTGCGGGGCGAGCGCGCTGCCTTCAGCGCTCCTCGGGGAGGGGGCGGGCGTTCCCCGCGATGCCGAGCGCGGCCGGCATCTACCGCGCCGGCAGGGGCCGCGACGCGCTCCCTGCTCGCGCGGGACCGCTGGCAAGTTGAACTGATCTAGGGCCTCGCCCGGGAGCGGCGGGCCGCCGCCGCAGGCATCGCGCCCGACGCAGGCGACCACATCATTCACGACGACGCGCGAGAGCGAGATCTTCAGGCCGCGCCTTTCCCCGACGGGCATTGGCTGCATGTCGACGATTTCACGCGGGCCCCCGCGTGGAGAGAGTTCATGGACTTCGCGGGCAACGAGGTGAAGGCTGCATAAGAGAAGATTGTTCGCGGCCTCTTCTGCATGCCTCTGATGGAGGCCACCTTCGCTTGGGAGGCGTCGCCTGCGGCGCGATGGTGCTTGGGCCGCGTGCTCTCGCGCGCCCGCTACCCGGCGACGACGGCCTCGCGGGCGCAGGCGATGCGCGGCGCAGTGGCCATCGCGCGCGCGCCAGGAGCCCCGGGGACAGCGCGGCGCTCACGACGACGCGCGGCGGCTGCGCTTCCACGCGATTTTCCTCCGCGCCGCCCAGACGGCGGACGCGCCGGAGGCGCGGCCGCCCCCTCGCGGGCAGAGGGGGGAAATGCCGCCGAAGTCGGCGAAGGAGGCGCTCGATCTCTTCGAGAAGAAAAAAGGGTTCAATGGTGGGGAGGGCCTTTCTTCTTGCCGAGAGTTACGGGATGGCGCCGCCAGTAGAAGAGTCGCTTCTTGAGCTTCTGCGACCCGATGCCAAGTGCTGGCGGCCCTGATGGAGCTGGCTCGCACGAGCAACCCGATCAGCGTTTCAATGGCCATTCGAATGAGCATGACAAAGTTGCCGGGCCGAAGCCAAGTGTCGATGGGCTATTTATCTTGTTCCCTGCGCGCCCAGCCGCAGCCTGCTCAGTGCCAAGTGTAGATCGTCGACTGACTCACCCGCCCGATGCCATGCGCGGACGGTCTGGCCTAACGGCACTTGTCGACGACCAGTTATTGTTTCTGGTGGCGAACAGGACTTGCTCTGGCTGCTATAGAAGCGAGAGCTGCGTGTTCCCCCCCTCGCGCCATGTGTTATTGCCTGGTTTGCCGCAGTTCACTCCGCCAGCGGGACACCGGCACTTGAACTTCCAGCGTAAAGCCGTGGGCAACCTCTTTCTCTTCCACGTGGCGTGGTGTCCGTGAGCATTTGCGAAAGATCGTGTGTGCCAGCGAACGAACTTCCAGGGACTTGCGCGGAATGAAAGTTCCTTGCTTCATCATGGAGAGGGGTCGAGTATCCATGTCGACTCAGTACCGCTCGGCCGTGCCAGCCACTGACGCGCACATGCGCTGATCCAACCTTCACACATATCCAGATGTATGCGAATCTATCCACGCGTAATATCGGCACTCATTCGCATTCGAACTCAGGCACCGCGATATCCACTCCAAATCTGTCAATATTCAAGCTCGTTTAAGGTCGTACTCTTTTGCGCTTAGACAGTCACGGGGGGATAGGCCCACACAAATCGATGCACACATGTTGAGCTCCACGCGGTGAGTAATCAAAACATGTGCGCGCGGCGCGAACGCGCGAACCACATTCAGAAAACGGTCCGCCCTCCATCCGTGATGCTGTTACATATTTCCCGCTTGCATATCCGAATTACTTGGAAAAAAAGCTCGTGCGGACCCCCCCACGTCCTACCGACACGCCTCGGGGTGCGCCAAACGGGGTTTTATCAGGACATGTGATGGAGGACGTGGAGGCGGAGACGGAATAGGACGATGAGGAGGAGGCAGAGGAAATGGAGGGGGAGGAGGAAAAGGAGGCGGACGAAGATGAGGAGGAGGAGGTGGAGGAGGTAGAGGAAGAGGCGGACGAAGAGGTGGAGGAAGAGGAGGTGGAGGGGGAGGAGGACGAGGAGGATGAGGAAGAGGAGGTGGAGGAAGAGGGGGAGGGGGAGGAGGGGGAGGGGGAGGGGGAGGGGGAGGGGGAACGGGAGGCAGGGAATGAGGACGAGAAAAAACAGCGGTGAGAAAGGGAAAATGGAAGGAGGAGGAGGAGGAGGAGGAGGAGGAGGAGGAGGAGGAGGAGGAGGAGGAGGAGGAGGAGGAGGAGAGACGAGGAGGACGAGGACGAGGAGACGAGGACGAGACGAGGACGAGGACGAGGACGAGGACGAGGACGAGGAAAGGGTAGGAGGAGGCGGAGGACGAGGAGGAGGAGGAGGAGGAGGTATAGGAGAGGATGAGGAGGAGGCGGAGGAGGAGGAATAGGAGGAGGAGGAGGAGGAGGAGGAGGAGGAGGAGGAGGAGGAGGAGGAGGAGGAGGAGGAGGAGGAGGAGGAGGTGGAGAGAGGAGGAGGAGCAGTTGGAGGTGGAGGTGGAGGAGGAGGAGGAGGAGGAGGAGAGGAAGAGGAGGAGAAGAAGTAGGAGCAGGAGGAGGAGGAGGAGGAGGAGGAGGAGGAGGAGGAGGAGGAGGGAGGAGGAGAGAGGAGGAGGAGGAGGATGAGGAGGAGGAGGATGAGGAGGAGGAGGAGGAGGAGGGAGGAGGAGGAGGAGGAGGAGGAGGAGGAGGAGGAGGAAGAGGAGGGGGAAAGGGAGGATTGAGGCGCCAGGATGTATATCGACGTTTTTTCCTCCAGCAGGGGCGCCTTTCCATCTGCGGCATAGCCCCATCGACGCCTCGCCCGCGTCGCCCGCGGGCGCTGCGGGAGGCGGCTGCGGCGCTAGCGCTGCGGTGCCGCCGCGGGGGTGGGTGTGTGGGACAGAACGCAGTCTGCTAAAACTCGGCGGCGGGCGAGGGGGTGAAATGAGAAGCAGGAGGCCTTTTCAGAAGGCGGCGGGACTTTTCAGAAACCCTCGCTCCTTCTGAAAGGTTTTGCGGGTCTTCGTGGAAGGCTTAGATATTTTCTCAGAAGGCCTGGGAACTTCCGAGCCTTCTGAGAAGACGCGCGCGCGCCCCTTCTCACTTCCCCCCCGGGCTCGCCGCCGAAACACATTCCACGAACATGCTACAGCATTGCTTCATGAGTAAACCGCTTGATTGTTCTGGCACTTTTTCAGGTCATCACGTTTGTCGACGGTTGACGAGACGGTCAGGAGCAACATCCGGGGGGATAGTCGTGAAACAAATAGTGGCATAAACAGAAGCATGCAGGAATTCCGTCGGTTATCAGAGGTCTTGTGGCCTCGGAGTGCTCTTCAGCAGCTGCCCTCGAACTGCCGCCGGAGACCCCAGTTCTGACCCGAAGGCCAAGCGACGAGGACCACTCGGGGCGGACGAAAGGGGGTGGGGAAAGAGATCCTCTGGAGGTCACGAAAGGACAGGACAGGGGGGTACGAAATCCGCTGCACGCGGAAGCATCTCACACGCCGTGACCCCAAGGGGTCGGCGGATTTTGTCATCGGTCCCTCTCCTGGAGGAGGGCCAGCTGAGACACTGGCGGCTCGATGTCTCTGGGGGCGCGGCCCAGGGCCGTTCAAGACCTGTCTTTGGGTGGACAGGTGTCCCGCTGACCCGCTTTCCGAGGCGGGCCCAGCGGTGGCGACGAGGAGCCTTGAGCCTGTTTTGGGGGGATTCAGGCAAGTTTACTTGCATGGCGTTCGCCCCCTCCCCCCCCCCCTCGCCCCTCTTCAAGCGAATACTAGTGTGCAAGTGCCTTCCGACTCGCGTGATTTCCGCGCCCCCCCCCCCGGGCTTGCTTCAGGCTCAGCCCCCCCCCCGTCCGTGCAAGTAAACTTGCCAGAGTCTAAAAAACAACAGGTTCCTTCAGGAGGCCCCCAGGAAGGGACGACCAGCCCCCTCCTCCTCCTGGTCCTCCTCCTCCTCCTCCTCCTCCTCCTCCTCCTCCTCCCGGACACAGACTCCAGCGACTGAGGGACCAGCCCCGCAAGGCTGGCGACGGTGGCGCCAGCGCCCACGCCGCGGTCGGGGCAAGGCGGCCGCGCGAGGACGAGGAGCACCAGCCGTTCCTCACGACATCGACGGGGTCGTGCAGGCCCCCGCCACCTCTACGAGCACTACCACTACAAGGGGGGCGCCTCCTGCGCCCGACCAGAAGGAGCTGCCCCGAAGGGCGGGCAGGCGCGGGCAGCCTGGGCCAAAGCGGGTCGCCTTCATCGTGGGGACGTGCGTCCACGTCCTAGCCATTGAGGAGGGCCTCGACATCTTAGACGGGGACGGCGACAGCTCCTCCTCGAGTACCTGGGCACGGAGGGCGCTCAGGGGAGCGGACACGCCCCGCCGCCAGCAGCTCGCGCCGTGGCTCCGACGGCTGGGCGGCAGCTCAGCCTCGAGCACAGCCACGGACGCCACGGAAGAGGCCCCAGAGGCGCAGGGGTGGAGAGCCGCAGATGTGCGGGTGGCCGAAGCCTCTCCCCATGCGCCCCTCTCGCTGATGCCGCCGACAGGCGGGTGGTCGAAGCCATCAGCGATGAGCTCGTGGAACAGAGAGCCGCAGACGTGCGGGTGGTCGACGCCTCTCTGCACGAGCGCCCCCAGCTCGGCTCCCCTGACGAGGGGGTGGCCGATGCAGCCCAGCTGGGGAGAGGACTACTGGAGGCCTCGGGCACGGGGCAGAGGGTGGCGCTCCAAGCCTGGCATGGGCGTCAGCTCAGCCACGACTGCGGCCACTGAGGCCTCGGAGGAGGACCCAATGACGCATGGTAGGAGAGCCGCGGATGCGCGGGTGGTCGATGCCTCTCCGCATGCGCCCCTCTCGCTGATGCCGCCGACAGGCGGGTGGTCGAAGCCTTCAGCGATGAGCTCGGGGAACGGAGAGCCGCAGACGTGCGGGTGGTCGACGCCTCTCTGCACGAGCGCCCCCAGCTCGGCTCCCCCGACGGGGGGGTGGCCGACGCAGCCCAGCTGGGGAGAGGAATACTGGGACTCCCGACCGCGGGGCAAGGGGCGCAAGGCAAAGCCCGACATGGGCCTCAGCTCAGCCTCGAGCATGGCCACAACCGCCTCGGAAGAGGCCCCAGTGGCGCATGAGTGGAGAGCCGTGGATGCGCGGGTGGCCGAAGCCTCTCCCCATGCGCCCCTCTCGCTGGTGCCGCCGACAGGCGGGTGGTCGATGCCACCAGCGATGTGCTCGTGGAGCCGAGAGCCGCAGACGTGCGGGTGGTCGACGCCTCTCGATACGAGCGCCCCCAGCTCGGCTCCCCCGACGGGGGGGTGGCCGAAGCAGCCCAGCTGGGGAGAGGAACACTGGAGGCCCAGATCTCGAGGAAAGGGGCGCCACGCCAAGCCTGGCATGGTGCTCAGAGGCCTCAACGGCAGCGCCTGGGGCATCCTCGTCGACCGCCTGGACGAGATGCCGTTGGGCAAAAACACCATCATGTTGGTGCAGGAGCACTGCCTCACCAGTGACTACGTCGGCGAGATTAGTGCCAGCGGTGCTGCGGCGGTCCTAGACCTAGAGAAGGCGCTCGAGCAGGCCACAGTGCACTTGCTTTGGGCCGAGGAGCCCAAGCGCCAGTTTCGGTTGCAGCTTTTGAAGCCTTTAATTTCGATTTGCACGGCCAGGCGCTTTGTTTCCTTCCGCGGCGTGGTGTCGGTGCATTCGACCATCACATTCTCAGCAGCCATTGCGGGTAGCAGCGGGGGCACGAGATGCCTCAAGCTAGCCATCTTGTCAGTCGTAGACGGGCTGGCGCAGGAGCACCCCGCCAGGCCGATGAAGTTTTTTGTTGAGGATTTAAGCATTCAGGCCCGAGGTGCGGAGGCGGATGTCTCGGCCTTGAGACTGGAGGTCCAGACCAGTAGCACGCAGCTCGGAGTCGACTCGGCGGGAGGAGGAGTTGTGTCGCTGCGCACCAGAGGCGATGCCAGGATGGGGAGCGCTAGGCGGCGTAGAGGTGAGTTGTCAAGCATTGGCAAGCAGGGCGCGCGCACACTTCAAGTTGCGCGCATGGGATTTCTCCCCTCTGTGCTGTATGGGGCGGTTTGCCTCGGAATGGACCCGACGCGGCTCACTCGAGCAAGGGCGCTCATGGCCTCGGCGCTGGGCGGGAACGCAATCGGTAAGGACCGACTGCTCCGCCTGTGGACGCTGAGATGCGACCCCCTGGTCGAGGCCTGCACGAAGCCGCTGCTCAAATGGGCGGAGGCTATCTTTGCTGGCGGCCATGAGGAGATCATGGTTGCTGGGTGGCGCAGAGCTGTCGCGGCGGCCGCTGCCGCCAAGCCTGGGAGCAACCCCTGGAGGCAGATAAAAGGACCCGCTTCAGCCGTCTGGGCCACACTCAGACTCCTCTCGTGGACGTGGCCTGCCTATCATGCGTTCTTCGATCACCTCGGGCAACAGTGGGAGTTGCGCAGGGCAGCACCGCAGTGTCTCAAGAAGCTGAGAGGAGCAGCGAGAGCCGCTGTAGCCGAGGACGAGGGCCTCCAAGGGATTGCGCATCGTGCTGTATCCTCCACCTCGGACTCCCTCCTTTTCCCAGGGCTGCGTAGCCTAGCCTCCGTCCTGCGTGCCGAGCTGTATGCACTGCTCAAGTTGCTGAATAGCGCCCACCCGCCTCTGAGGGTAGGGGTAGACTACAGTTCAGTCATTCGAGGCCTCCGTAAAGGCCCCAGCTGGTGCTGCAGCCCTAGGAGCTCGACGTGCGGGCGAAAGGCTTTCTCTTGCAAGACCAGGCGCGCGTTGGGGCGCAGGCCCTGCCAGGGCAAGATGAGCGTGGATCGTCGGTGGGGCGTTGAGTTGGGGCGGGGGGTTGGGGAAGGCGTCATCTCTCCAGCCCTCCGCGGTGCGGCCATGGGGCACAAAGTGCACCGCGCGGGCCAGTTTTCTTTCTGCGATCGGTGCGGTGTGTTCTCGAGCGAGAGAGGGTGGAAGCTCGTGGCTGCCTGCGTGTACCGTCTCTCGCTCCTGCGCCGAGGCAAAAATCCTTGTGCAGTGAAGGTCTCCCTAGAGCAGAGCCGCGCTCCCTGGTAGAGGGGGGTGCGCGGCGTTCTGGGAGCGCCTGATGGATTGATCGGGAAGGGGCGGGAGCACCCCGAGGTGGAGTGCCCGCCCATCCGTCTTACATATGGCGAGCTGAGGCGGGGACCGCCAGGCATCGTTCTTGCAGCAAAAAACCTCCTCCTCCTCCTCCTCCTCCTCCTCCCGCTTTCCGAGGCGGGCCCAGCGGTAGCGACGAGGAGCCTCCAGGAGGCCCCGCTGGAAGGGACGCCCAGCGCCCGGGAGGGCTGCCGTCGTCTCGACTGCCCCCCCTCCGACCCCCAGGGGTCTTTTATGATGGAAGTTCGACCTCGCTTCCGGCCGGCTGCCTCCGGTTAGATGCTCAAATGGCGCTTCTGTGCATCCTTTCGTTACTCCAGATTTCGTGATAAAGGGAGGGGGGTCTCATTTCGGGGGGGGGGGGGTCTCTTCCAGGCTATCCTGGAGGGCCTGGGGGGGGTCTGGGGACGATGTTCTGGAGGGTTCTCCCACGGGGGAGGTCTGAGATGGCTTGTCTGGGAGGGTCCAGACCCCCGTCCTTTTATTACGAAATCTGGAGTACCGATCTGTTCCGATCCCGACTCCTCGACGATGCGGCCCGACCCGGCGCACGTTCCGATCCGACTTCCCGATTTGAGGTTGATTGATCTCGGCGTCACCCCAACATATCAGTACTATGTGTGCGTTGCCACGCAGCACCCCGCAGATGCGGGTGAGAGTGAGGGGTCGGTGGGGGCGTCGGCAGTCTGCGAGACTCTGGAGAAGCCCGCCGCAGGCGCCAAAGTTTGACACAAATTCTACAACGATCCTGCCGCAGGCGCCGATTTTTGCGTTAAACCAATGTGGGTAGATCGCGGGTGGGTCGCTGGTGGTTCGCGGATGGGTTGCGGGGTGGGTCGCGGGTGGGTCGCGGGGTGGGTTGCGGATGGGTCGCGGGTGGTTCGCGGATTGGTCGCGGGGTGGGTCGCGGGTGGGTCGCGGGTGGGTCGCGGGTGGGTCGCGGGTGGGTTGCGGATGGGTCGCGGGTGGGTCGCGGGGTGGGTCGCGGGTGGGTCGCGGGGTGGGTCGCGGAGTGGGTCGCGGGGTGGGTTGCGGGCAGGTCGCGGGTGAGACGACGACAACAAATAACTACAACGCAACAAGCAGAATCTTCACCACGGATCCCCAATTCGGCCACGCACCCAGGGACAATGAATGATTGTTCGGCTCCCTCACTCTGGTAGTGTATGCGTCGAGGCACGCTTTTCTGGCCACACCGCTCGGGAAACGATCTACTACAAGATGGGTATACTATCTGTTCGGGTCGGACGCGCGCCTCCCAGGAGCATACGCAGTACCAGTATGTCTCTGTGCGTCCCATACCGTATACCTCTCCCCCCTCCCTCCCTCCCTTCCTCCACTCGAAGAAGGGCAACCGCCATTAACAAAAACACCAACTTTTTGGCGAGGGTTGCATCCGCGCTGGGCGCCAGTCTCGGTGCCGCCTCCCCCGACATTCCCATGCCCCCCCTGCCAGGATCCCGAAGATTTCCTCAGGATTCCTCCGGATGTCTCAGATGGTCCTCTTCAAACTCTCAGGATTCCCAAGGATTCCGCTGGGTTTCTCCACATCTCCCAGGGCTCCTCTGGATGCATCAAGCTTCGGCAGGGTTCCACGGATTTCACAGAAGCCCTGAAATATCCCTCCATCTCCTCCTCCGCCCGATGAAGGACGACCGCCATTCAAAAAAACACCCACGAACTTTTTAGCGCGTGCTGCATCCGCGCTGGGCGCCAGTCTCGGCGCCGCCTCCCCCGACATTCAGAGCCCCGAATCATCAGGGGTAACTCGGGTCAGGGATAACTCGGGTTCGTTTTTCGGGAATCCGAACCCGAGTTATCCCGGACCCGAGTTACCCCGGATATTTCGGGCGTCCAGAGCCCCGAATCATCAGGGGTAACTCGGGTCAGGGATAACTCGGGTTCGTTTTTCGGGAATCCAAACCCGAGTTACCACGGACCCGAGTTACCCCGGATAACTCGGGCGTCCAAGACATTCCCATGGCCCCCCCCCTGCGGCCCACTGCCCCCCCCGCCGCCCCTCGCCGCTCCCCCGGCGCCCCGAGGTGCGGCTGTCCCACGGCGCGCCGCTGCCCCCGTGCGGCGCGGTGCCCGCCGGCCTCTCGGTGCCCCGCCTTTTTGCGGGCAGGGGCAGCGAGCAAAGCGACGCGAGGATCGGGACAAGATCGGATCGGGAGAACTCCAAATCTCTGAGAATCGTCGGGTTTGGAGGATGTATTGGGCGCCGCGGCCGCTCCAGAGCGTTCCGGCACGCTCTGAGAGCGCTCCGGGACGCTCTGGAGCGATTTATCCCGATCCTAGCCCTGTTTTAACGATAGGGGGCAGATCTGGACGCCCGAAATGGGTACGGAAAGACAGGGTACGATAGGGGGCATATCTTCGGGGGCGGAAAGGAGGGGGGTGATGACTGGGGGGGGGGGATATCATGGCGGGGGCCATGGTAGTTCCCCAGATCTCATGGCGCCTCTTCTTGTTTCATTACGTCTCTGGCCCCCCCCCGCTGGGCCGCGCACAGGCCGCCGGTCATGATTTGCCCCCCCCCTCTTGGACACCCCCCTCTTGGCCGCTCCCGATATCTGGACGCCCGACATGGGTACTGAAAGAAAGGGTACGATGCCCAACAGCAGTTCCTGTTCATCTTGAACAGGACTCGCTGTCCACGCCGCCGCGGCCCGTGTCAGTTCGAGACAGAAGGCCGCCTGCCCAACAGCGGCCGCCGCTGGCTTGGGACAACATTTGTTGTTTGGCATTGTACCCATTTTTTCCGTACCCATTCCGGGCGTCCAAAGCATAGGGGGGGGCGCATCGACCCCCAATCGCCCATGGATCGCCGATAGGGGCCCGATAGTCCCAACCTGCCCAGGAAGGTGCGGATTCACGATCGGAGGCCTATCGCCGATCTATCGGCGATGTAGCGCCGATTCCAGGTCGATGCATCCCCCCCTATGCCAGTCCCCCCCCCTATGGTTGCCCCTTAGGAGGGGGGGACGCCTACGATCCGATTCGATGCGATTCGATTCGCCTGCCGGGGCCGCGATTCCACTTCGACCCGATCCAGCTCTATTCGCCGGCATCGGCCAGGGCCAGCCAGAAGCGGGGCCCGGCGATTCGATACCGAGCCGATGCGGGGCGATTCGCTGGCGATTTGGTTCGCTCTCGATCCGATTCGATTTTGCGATCCGATCCAGCGCCGACCTGGAAGGGGCCCAGGGACACAAATGAATCAGCACAAGTCCAAGGATTCCCAATCTTTTTGAAGATTTTATGGATTGTCGTCTCTCCCCCCACTTCCCAGTGTCTTTTCTTTGTATTCTCCTGGGGGTCGACGATTATACGTGTGTATGTGTCTGTGTCTGTGCCTATTCTTCCCTCGTCAGTCACTTCAGCAGGGGGCTAAACTTTCCAGCGAGGAGGTCCACTGGCCTCGAGAGGCCCCCCGAGCACCCCCCAGCTGGCCTCGACGGACCCCGCAAAGCTTTCAAGGGCGATCTCAACACGCCAGCCCTGGGGCGCGGAGCGCACCAGGGGCGCCGCCGGACGCGGCGCCCGGGTGTGGAGACGGCGTCGGACTATGTTGGGGGGCCTGTTGAGGCCAGCTGAGATTCTGCGGGGGACCTCAGTGAGGCCAGGCGGGACCACCTGGGGGGGCTGTTCTGTTCGAAGCCTCACCTTATGTTGCTCCCATCGTACTCAAGGACCACATCCCACACATAATTTCGAGCACCCCGACAAAAGTGTCGAAACAGCGTCGAAACAGTGTCGGACGAGTGTCTCCCAGGGCCCGACGCGTGAAAGCCTTGAGCTTCGGTACTTCTCTTCTGGTGCTCGAAGTTCCTTCTGGTTATCAAGGCTAAAGCAGGTTGGAACATCTGAAGCCTCGCCGAGGTCCGCGGTGTCTCCCCGATAGGGGCGAATAGCCCAAGGGCGGGCATTACACGTATTCGCCTGGGAGCCTCGTCGAAGACATAGATCATCGGCGCCCCCGGACACATGTATTGCTCTCCCCTGGGCTATTCGCCCCAGCCGTCGCCTCCGAGAGGCAGAAGCCACCGCGGAGGCATCCACAAACCCTCGGGTGGCCAGCGCGGACTTCTCTCGGATGGGCGCGGGCTCGCTTTGGGCGGCGCCGCGCTCTCCGCCTCCCTGCTCCGTGCGCGAGGGAGTGGCGTGGCATACAGCACCGACCCAATTCATCTGCGCGGGCCTCCGAATGTGTGTACGCTCATGCCGTTGCTTGTACGTTATAGAGTATCGTTTAAACGACCCCCAGCCCCATCCCCATCCCCCTCGAGACGCCCACCGAATTACCCCCCCCCAGTTGGGGATACGCCCTTCGAAGCCCGGAGGGAATGACCTATGTCCCCATCTAGGGGGGCAAAGCGGCCAGTGGGGCCCGGGCCACGCCGCTGGGGGTGGGGACCGCTCCAACGCTACTATTCAGTTAGGGAGGAGGAGCGGCGTCCCCAACAGCGGGATACGCCACGGGTTTGTGCAGGTTGAACTAGGGGCACTGCTTACGTCCCGCAGCAGCATGACGCATGCTGCGTGTCGACGCTCGTCGGCACGTTGCGGCTCTGCGTGGCAGCGCGTCGGCACGCAGAGGCCGTGCGTGACGGCGACTGCAGGCTCCCTGCTGCTCCTGGAGGCACCAATGGAGGACGTGCGAAGGGGTGGGGGATGGGCCCCGCGGGGGGGTGGCATCGACCCTCCGTCGCCCCTCGCCGTCTGGGGCCCGGGTGGGGGGCGGGAGGCGCGGCAGCACGCGCGGGACGAGCGGCGAGGGGCCGAGCAGGGCCCCCAGGGATCCGAGGCAGCGGGACGCTGGAGCGGCAAGTGGTTGGCCCGTCTCGGACTCTGGGGGCCCTCCACGGGCCCCGAGAGACCGTCAAACAAAACGGTTCTGGATGAAAAAACCCGTCCCAGGAGAGCGGTCCAGACCAACGAAGCGGAGCGCCGGATGTCTGGGGCTGCCACGCTGGGGCAGCGCAGGGGGGCGCGAAGGCAATCGTGCAGCGCGAGGCGCGAAGGGAGGAGGCCTGCGAAGGAAGAGGAAGGACGAGGAGGCTCCTCCTCCTCCTCCTCCTCCTCCTCCTCCTCCTCCTTCTCCTCTTTGCCCCGAGGGTGGGGGCCTGGCACCTGTTCTCATGGTGTCAGCGCCACACACTCCTCGGGGCACCCTGTCAGTGTCAATTGCATGCGGCGGCTGGGGGTTGATGACCGGCTTGCGTCGTCCTTGCACCAGCCACGTGGCACTTTGCCCGTGGCAGCGGCACGTTAGCTGTGCCCGTGACCTGGAGATGGGTACCAGGCACGGGGAGTGTGCATTTGGTTGAGAGGCGGGGCCATGTGGTCCGTAAGTCCCTTGGGACCTTGTGTCTGCTCACCCTGGGGTACAAACCCAGTTGCACATGCCATCCGATTCGGCAGGGGTGACGGTCGGGGCGTACTGCGCGGTGACGCGGTGAACCGGCTGTCCCCCTACGCACCACGCCGTTTCGGTTGGGCAGCGAGTCGCTGAACGCCTTTTCCCCTGACTGTCGGTGCTGGCGCCTGCGGGTCCCTTCCTCCTGTCTGGGAGGCCGAGGGTGACGGTTGAGCCTCGCTCGCCGCTCATTTCTTGGATCTATGACATTCATGACACTCCTCTTCCTCCTCTTGCTCCTCCTCCTTTTCCTCTTCTTTCCTCCTCCTCCTCCTCTTCCTTCCTCCTCCTCCTCTTCCTCGTCATCCTCCTGCTCCTGCTGGTCCTGCTGCTCCTCCTCCTGCTGTTCCTCCTTCTCCTCCTCCTCCTCCTCCTACCCCTTGCCCCTCGTCGCCTCTCCTCCTCGCTTTCGTCTTCGCCATCGCCCTCCCCTTCCGCGTCGCCCCCACCCTCCTCATCGCTCTCCAGGAGGAGGAGGAGGAGGAGGAGGAGGAGGAGGAGGAGAAGAAGGAGCACGCTCCAGGCTGTCGCCTCTAGTTGGTCTAACGCCAAAAGGGAGGCGGACGACGACGGCGACGACGACGGGGATGGCGACGAGAGGAGGAGCCCGCCACGAGTACGAGGAGGACAAGGGCCTTAACGATCGTGGCGACGACGAGGAGGACAACGACCGCGGCGACGGCGTGACCTCTTGTTGCGCCTTCCCCCAGGTGATCGTTGCCACGGCTGGCGGGGGCGGCTTCGGGCCGCCAGCCGGCCGCGACAGGGAGTCCCTGGCGGCCGACGTGCGAGGCGGGCGGGCGGGCGATGGGGGCCCCGCTGCCCGCGGAGGGGCAGGGAGCCGCCACGGCGAGAAGGGAAGCGGCCCTCGAAGGGTCGCCACGGAGGAGAAGGGGATCCAGGAGGGCTAGGCCGCCACCACGGGGGGGGGCCTCGGAGGCTTTGGCGGCACCTCCCGCCTGCCAGGTCGGCAAGCGCGTCGCTCGTGTCCCTGTTCTCGAGAGGGGGGCGGTGCGGCCGCAACTCGTTTTCCGGCGTGCGCCCGCCGGGATCGCCACGAAGGAAAGCGATCCTGAGGTGATCACGGAAGGGACAGGACAGGGGTCACGACATTTGCTGCGCGCAGCTGGTTTCGGCCCCGCCGCCGGGCGCTTTCCTTTACGCGTTGGCACGTCCGACACCTATCGCGCCGCGCCGCGCCCGTGCCAGGCGGGCTCGTGTCGGCGGCCGCGGCCCGGCGAGAGTACGGCCTGCAGGAGGACCGCCGGAAGAGGGGGAGGGAGGAGGAGAGGGAGAGGGGGGGGGGGCAAGGGGGGGCACGGAGAGAGCAGGGAGGGGGCAGGGAGGTGGGGGGAGCAGGGATCGGTGAGGGAGGGGAGATGTGGACGGAGAGAGCGCGGGGGAGGGGGAGGTGGGGCGGGATGGTCGAGGTGGAGGGGTCAGTGGGGAGAGGAGGCGACCTGGAGGAAGAGGGGGGATACAGGAGGAGCATCAGGAGGAAGGTGGAGCACTGAGGAGGGTGGGGTATGGAGGAGCAGGAGGTGGAGGTGGAGGAGGAGGAGGAGGAGGAGGAGGAGGAGGAGGAGGAGGAGGAGAGGAGGAGGAGTGAGGAGGACTGACGAGGACGGTCCAGGATGAACAGGATGGATGGACAGGATGAGCAGGAGGAGAGGAGGGGGAGGGTCCAGGATGAGGAGGATGACGAGGAGGACGAGGAGGAGGCGGATGAGGAGGATGAGGAGGAGGAGGAAAATGAGGAGAATGAGGAGGAGGAGGAGGAGGAGGAGGAGAGAGGAGAGGAGGAGGAGGAGGAGGAGGGGGGGGCGAGAATGAACAGGATGAGCAGGAGGGAGGAGGAGGAGGGTCCAGGATGGAGAAGTGGATGGAGGAAAGGAGGAGGACGAGGAGTAGGCGGATGAGGAGGATGATGCTGCTAATGCTGATAATGATGATGCTGATGATGCTGATGATGCTGATGATGATGATGATGATGATGATGATGATGATGATGATGATGATGCTGATGATGCTGATGCTGATGCTGATGCTGATGCTGATGATGCTGATGATGAGAAGGAGGAGGAGAAGGAGGAGGAGTATGGGGAGTATGGGGAGTCTTACGACGCGGGCAAAGAAGGGGTGCTGGCGTTCTTCAACATGGACAATACGGAGGAGGTGCAGCAGCAATGAGGAGGAGGAGGAGGAGGCGGAGGAGGAAGGCGGAGGAGCAAGAATAATGAGGACGGCTTCGGGTGCGAGGGTGGGGAGAGGAGGGGAGAGAAGGGTGGATGGAAGTGCGAAGCTGATGATGCTTCAACGACTGTGCACAGGGCTTTGGGGAGGGGGCGGAGGAGTAGGAGAAGAGGGGTGTGGGGGGGGCCTGGGGGGGGACAGCGAGGGTGACGGCGGGGAGGATCTGGCGAGGGGGATGCGGCAGAGTGGCGACGAGCTGCAGGAGGCGGGAGTCAAGCAAGCCAGGTCGAACGAGCCAGCATGCCCCGCCCACTCCCACACCCCCTCCCGCAACACGAGGAGGAGGGGGAGGGGGAGGGGGAGGGGGAGGGGAGGGGGGACGAGGAGGAGGAGGAGGAGGAGGAGGAGGGCGAGGAGGAGGAGGAGGAGGAGGAGAGGAGGGAGGAGAGGAGGAGGAGGGCGAGGAGAGGAGGAGGAGGAGGAGGAGGAGGAGGAGGAGGAGGGGGGGGAGGAGGAGGAGAGTCAATGGAGGCGCAGCTTGGTGTTGGAACTGACGGACGACCGCCCAAGCGAAAAGAATGCGCTCGTGCGCGGTCCCGCTTCCGACGGCTGACGCGGGGGGCACTCACGGCCACGCGCTGGCCGCGCACGCGCTGCGGCGAGATCACAGGTTTGTCACCGCCCACCAAGCCACCCCAACCCAACCCGAAGGCCCCGATTTGCCCTCCATTCCCAGTGGGGTGGGCCGGGGAACATTGAAAAAACAAATAGGAAGCCCGTACCCCCCCCCAACCCGACATTCGGGTCTTCGGGTCGGGTTGGGGTGGTCTGGTAGATGGTCAGTTTGCCCTCTCTCGCGCTGCCAGGTTCCGATGAGCGCGGCGAAGACGAGGCGTGCGCCGCGCCGAAGCGGCACCGCCGCTCGCTCACAACAGCTGCACGGCTCCTGGACGAGGGGCGCGCCCGCTGCTCGTTCGGCCCCGCTGCCGCTGCGGGGGATCCGGCGACCTGCGACAGGCGTCGCGCCCAGGCGCAGCTGCTGGCGAGCATTCCGAGGCTGGACGGCCGTTGAGAATCGACGAAAACGTCCGAAGCCCTCGAACCTCGACCCCGAAACTTCCCGCCTCGCTCGCCGCCGAGAGCCCCCACCGGCTCGCCACGCCGTGTGGCCACCGCACCGCTTGGAGGCCCCGCAGCGGCGCGCGACGTTGCCGACGACACGCCGAGCGCCGCGCGAGGGGCACGCCCCAACGGCGCGCGCGGGCCATGTGTCAGCTGGAAACTTGCTGGAGGCCTTGGCGAATGCGACAAGTGGCCCTCTCGCGCGCGGCTCCGCGCCTAACGACTTGGCGAGTGATGCATCTGCCACGCGCTCAAGCGGGAGCACGTCACGTCGCAAGAAGCTGCGCAGCGTCGAGGCCACAGCGACGTTTCGCCCGAACGCGCGCAACCTTTTATGAGCTGGCGGGCGAACGGTGTGCACCGCGCACGCGCGGGAACCCACTTTTCAGAGATCATTGCCGCGGCGCTTGGGCGATAGCGATCGTTAGCTTTTCTGCGCACGCGCGGTGTGTGCCCCGTTTCACCCCTGCCACACATCTCGCAGCGTCGACGACCAAACGTCCATTCTGAAAGGAATACGCTTGTGTACTGGATGGGTGGTATGCCCCCCCCAAGGATGGTATCGCGTTCGGCCGGCCAGGTGGCAGAGCGAGAGTATGTTCGAATAGGAAGTGAGGTGAGGATTAGGGCAAGAATGGGAATGCCGAAGGGGCAGGAGCAGGAACATGAGCAAACCAAAGAGCTCGATCAGGCACAGGGATGAGAACAGGAGTGGTCAGAACCACAAACAGGAAACAAACGGTGGTGAAGGCAGAGTTTGAAGAAACGGTCAGAGCAGGACGAGAAGAGGTCTTGGGGGGGCCGCGGAGGATGAAGGGAGGAAGCAGCAACAATAGGAACTTCAGCAATAACGAGCAGCAGGTCGGGGGTTCACGGATAGCAGCAGGTTCGGGCGGGAGCGGCGCGCCTTCGCAGCGCGGCGCACACACACGATGGTAAGTGCTTCCCTCGTCCTCTTCCTCGTCCTCCTCCTCCTCCTCGCGCTCGAACGGTATGCCTTCCGGTCCTGCTTGTCTCACAACTCGCCTTGCCAGTGTTGTCCGTTGCCGCTGTTCTGCAGGATCCTCGCACCGTGCCCGTTGTAGACACGCTTTCAGGTGTCACACACACATATCAGGAAGGGAAAAACACACAGACACAATTAATCGTCGATCCCCAAGAAAATATAGGAACATATGGGAATTGGCCGGGAAGACAGAAACCCAGAAACTATGGTCACATATGGGGAATCATTATATTTGTGTGTATTTATGTGTGTCCGTGGGCCCCTTGACCATACCACATCCCGCCTTCAGAAAACACTTGTCTTCAAATTTACCTTCGCGTCCATGTTTCGAGCTGGTAGCGGAGCCTCATGCTCCTTTGCCACGGTTTTGTCATGTCCCGCCGTGCGTCGAAGGCATCGGCTCCATCTTTCCATCGCTTTCGTGCACCTACTCCCGATCATAATGGCGGGATGCGTTGGTTTACGGACCGTCGGGGCACCAGCCCATTCGCCAGGTCCTGTGACGGGGAAGTCGCGCATCTACCTCAACACGTACACGCATGAAACCTACCAGGGCCCCGGCCGCGCCGCCGACGAGGCCGGCGACGAATTTCGTGGCGCGTTGGAGCTCTCAGCGACCGTTCCCAGGTTTGCGCTGATTGTGTCAGCGTAGCTCGCGAAACCTACGCATTCAATGCGCCCGCGTGCAGGTGCAGCCGCAAATCTTGGACAGTTGTTCTGCGCAGCGTTCACATCTATTGCGTCAGCTAATTAGGGGCCCCGAGCGTCCGGCGACCGCGTCGCGAGAGCCTTGGGAGGAGCAGGTAGAGAAGAGCGGAGGGTCAATCGATGGTTTGCGTCGCCAGCAATATGGGGGCAGCGAAGCTGATCTCCTACGCCCCAGATTGTCTTCGATTTATTGTTTTATGACGACCTTCCACTTTGCCCGCGCGATCCCAGGAGCCTGGCAGGACTGGGTCCCGATGCCCGCTCCTGTCGACGATCGCACAGTGGGCGGCGCTCGGCGCAGCGACGACGCGACGCGCGAGGAGCACGCTTGATTGGGCCACGGGATGCTCCGAGCACCGAGAGCAGCACAACCGCGCGACGGAAGCCAACGCCCAATGCGCAGACGAGGAGGAACACATCTGGGGCAAGTGTCCACGACGGTTTCGAGGCACGCGGCCCGAGCGGTGGGCCCCTGGCCGATGGAAGGTTATTGGGGTGGGCGCGGTTGCCATCGCCAGTTGCGTCGTTTGCGTGGGCGCAGGCGGCGGAAATGAAGACGCACGACATTTCCGAGCCTGGGGCCGCGCTAATCGGGCGGTACATTTTTGTGTTTTCTTTTTCAGAGGACGACGATGAAGACGGTGCGATACGATGACGGTGACGACGATGACAATGGCGATTGCGATGGTGACGACAATTACAACGACGATGATGGCGGGCGGTGCGATGACGAGGGCGATGGGGGCCCCTGACGCACAAGGGAATGCCGGAATAGCGTCCGGTTCTTAAATGCAGCGTGTATCACTCTCTCGCACGTCGGCTAGTTCCCCATGGCCATCGAGCGGATCTCCGGCGCTGCCCCGACTCTGCGCTAGCGGATTATCTCCATCGCCGCAGGCTTCTTAGTGGCGCATGGCGCGCGCCGGTACTTGCCGAGATTATGTTTTTGGGCGTCGTGAGCATGTGCCCCCCAGGTGATCGGCGTTGCGCGCGTCCACGGGCTCGTTGTTCTTGCGACCGAAGTTCATCGCAATGAATATGCGCCGAGACCGGCGCATCTCGCTGAACGCCCCGGCGCGCCCGCGGAATCGCGAGGAGCTGTTTTTTCGGCTGCAGCGCGGGCCCTGGCCGCCCGCCTTTTCGACCGCATCGCCTTCAGGAGAGCGCGCGGGCAGGTCGCCGCGCGCCCGCGCGCGCGGGACTCATCCGCGCTGTAGCGCTTCAGATGGT